GGGGGGGGGGGGGAAAGTCATTTTTGGAGGAGGTGGGGCCCCGAGATACGCCACTGGCTACCTGAAACAGACCTCAAAAAGCGAATCTCACTCCTAATGCGCGTGAGAGTTAGCAGTAGACATAGCACCACTCTATCACTGTTTTTTTCTTTTTTTGGGGGGGGGAGGGTGGGGAGGGGTTACGGTATCATTTTTTTACTTTGCCCTATGCATCCTTCAACAAGGCGCGTAGTGATGAACATAGGGCCTACAGATTTCCGTACAGTGGACTATGCTTCTTGCAAGTTAAGTTATTATTATTGCAAGTTCTGATATGATGTGCCCCCTCTACGTCCGCCTAGAACGAATAATCTCTCCTCGCAGCAGTCCCCAGATTAGAAAACTTTCACGACGACGAGAAAAGTGGAACAATAGCTGGTTAACAAACCCTAGAGGGAAAGCAATATTTCTATCAACTGCATACATTTAAATTCGATCAGAATTTGCTGCAAATAGGTAGGAATACTAGGCTTAGGCTACCCTATCACATGTTCATGCATGGTACTTCAGCAAGGCTAGGCTAGGCCATGCATGGAGTTATAATATGGCTAGGCAGAGAGTTGTGACAGGGTAGGCGAGCTTTGGCCAGAGAGAGGTGGGTAATGGTATGCTCAAAGATACTAGAAATACAAGATAGAGCACTCGCATTGTAAAAATGAGGCGGAAATCGTGCCCAACGTAGGCGGCGCCCTTCTTTTTAACCATGCAAGTTTTCTATACTTCGTGCCCAACGTACAGGCCACCATTCTGTTGCTAACTATATCCAGACGCACACGGCACCCTTCTTTTTCCACTAATGGAGGAAAACTTTATCACTAGAGTGCTTCTGGCCATACGATTTTGCGCTATATTGTTGTTTCCTATACTGATCCGTAGGCTTAATTGTGTGTTTTATTTGGATAATAGCAACGATTTCTACCTCCGCCAAGGAATTATGTATTGACCGTTGTCACTGTCTGGGTACAATTGTACTAATTGTACAATTGTGTACAATTTTTTAATTGAGAATTGACAATAAAATATGCGAAGACTTGGTAACGAAATTTTGGTTGAAGTTTTTTTAGATCCAGCCGTACGGGGCGCCCCATTGTTTGTATTCCCACCATGCATTTCGGTGGAACACTTTATTTGTGTGGAGAACTCTATCTTGTATTTCTAGTATCTTTGGTATGCCTAGGTAGGGTACTACCATGGAGGTATTATTGAGAAGGAGATCACTCAAAAAAGCTACGCGCACGCAGAGCTATGCAAATGACCCAAGAACAAAGCTGCCGAGGCGCTTGAAGAACGTTTGCGCGATGCCTTTGAAGTCTATGTGTTCCCCGCCACCAAATGCTCAGCAGGCTTTGATTTACCAAAAGATTGAACATGGCGAAATGGAGAGCACATACTTTTCTTAATGCGCACTACTTACAGTCAATCACTATGGCTGTGCAATCGTTTCCATCTTGAAGCTAATACATTGATCTTTCAAGAAATACCAAACATAATAATATTTTCTAAAAAAAGTTTCGAATTTAATGAAACATTTACATCAGCTTTTTTAAAAGTATGGTAAATTGTAACTCAAATTTCCATAAATTGGATAAAACTCGATAATTCCAATTTTAACAGATATTAATTAAGGAATGATGGAGGATTATAATAAACTAAGTCATTTTAGGGTTAACGAGGGTTAACTATTCAAAAATTCAATCCAGAATCAGTAATTTTCAGTTTTACGCTGCCTTAGCTTTATAGTCAAACAAATCGATCTTTAGACAAAATGATAATGAACACAGAAGTAATTTTAACAGAAATATTTTGCGGAATCTGTTTCTGAAATATACACATAATATCATACTAAATGTCCGAAAAAATCAGGGGAACATTGTTTATTATAAAGATATTTAATGGGTTAAAATCAAACGCTTTATCGCACAACTGCTGTGCTGGAGCATATAAACGCATGTCGTTGCCAAGTTGTTGCTAACGAAAAAAATGTGAATTATAGGGTAATACGCCCGTGCGTGATCCAAAGGCGGGGAACACATTGGTTTGTCGCGTCAAAGGGATCTGTTGCCGAGTGTTCTCCTTTTCAATAATACCTCCATGGTACTACTATGGGTATGCATAGGCCTACCGACCTAGACTAGAGATTGGCGCTTATTTTTTTGTGAACATTTGTAAACTCAAACAAGTGTGGTAGCTAGGATGTCTGCATAGGTTCCAACTGTCCCGCTTTTGAGAGTCATGTCCCGCTGTCCTGGTCAACCCCCAAATTGTCCCGCTTATCAACTTTTATTTAAAAAAATAATCACCATATTAATACCAAGATTAAATTCCCAGAGGATACTTTGAAACCTATGGCCCTACAGACGACGAGGCTACGCATTAGCGCATGAAAACATGCCGAGCTGAGGTACTAATATCAGCAGATTGTGAGACGCGATGTGTTTATTTTTAGGAAGTGTCATACTTTAATAAACTTGCATTTTCAGCACTCGACATTAGCATGGAATCCCAAGCCGCGGTGATTCCCCCAAGTTCACCAAGGCACTAATTAATTTATAATTTTGTTTTTTATTTTATATTAAAAACGTAATTTGATTTTCTACAACAGCACAGTATGTAGTTTAATCACTAAATAAATTATTAAATCATTGTGTTAACTTTTCAAATAAAAGTGATATTATGAGCTGGAAATGTTATGTTCAATTTTACTTTGTTGAATGAACACACTTTACCCAAATACAAGGCTTAGGCCTACTCAAGGTTTCCTTGCTAAAACTTAATTACCACAAAATCAAGACGATATTCTTCTAGGCCTACCTGTATTGTTATATGATAGTCAATCATCACAAATTAAATAACATCTTAATGTTTTCATTCAAACACATTTACCCACATCGTCACTAACAAAAACATCGTTATAGTCTTTAGTCGGGTCGAGCATCGAGCCCTGATAGATCGCAAAGAACATAAAGGAAGACCACGTTTGGAGAGCACATGATCCACTCTACAAAGTACTGTACGCTATGAAGCAAGAAGTAAACAACCAATAATAATATGCGTGTATTTTCTGTAAGATATTTCATCATTACAAAAAAAGTGAGACCAGGGAGATGTAAAAAATACATCTCCCTGGTAAGACAAAACATAATGGGATGCCAGTCAATTCGAGCGGATGTCAATTTGAGCGGATGTCAGTTCGAGCAGATGCCAGTTCGAGCGGATGCATTTAGTGCGAACTACAACAAGGGCGAATTTATGGTCGCCCTATTTTTGTATTTGTTTGATTTAAATGCAAAAAAAATGCTCTGTGCACTAAAGTTCTGAAATTGTTTTTGGTACTTTTTGACAATTATTCCATGTTTGAATTACAGTCTTGGCAAATCCGACTAAAAGATGGCCGCTAGAAAGCACTTAGGCCCTATATTTTAAAACTATAGAATTTGGCACGTAGAATTCACGGTTTTTGTCTCCAGTTAGTTGAATTATATAGTGTTGTATTACAGTATTTGTAGATTTACGATTTAGGCTTTGTAAATGAGAGTAACTGTAAATGTAATTTTTATTCACCATAGAAATTTAAATTTTTTTTACGTATATGGTATCAGAAGGTGCACAAATCATTGGTGTAGTAGTGTGACACAGGGGCGGATCCAGTGACGTGTAGGGGGCACAGGGAGGCACGTGCCCCCTCGTCTTACCACTAAATTTTTAAAATGTCATTGCATATTAATGTTATGTGTACTCACTTTAACCATTGTGAAACTGTTGTATCCCCACCCCGCCGTTTGAAAAATTCTGGATCCTCCAGCCCCTGTGACAAGACTATCAACAGCACAATAGTAGACATCATACCAATTTTCTCCACTATTCAACCATTCGTCTATATAGTTCAAAACACACTTTTTTTTAAACTTAGCATGTGGAAAGAATAACAATGACTAAACATTATTTTTATGAAGGTAGGAATGTTTAATTGTAAATTGTTAACCTTATAAATCAATTAAATACGACTTTTTTTTATACATAAGGCTATAGGCTTCTCCCCCGGAACCCACCAGGGCTTTTCCCCTGGCTCCAGTGGCCTATCTAGAAGTCTTGAAATGAGGGTGCTGATTGGGGCACAAAGGTGAAGTGGGGGGTTTCGATGATTATAATTTAAATATTTTTTATTTTATTTTATTTTCAGCCAGAACCACAAAAAACAATCAAAAAAGAAAGAGGAGGGCTGAGGAGAGGCAAAAGCAGTACAAAAACTACTATTACCGGATATGGTGTGCCCCTCCAGCTCCAAATTCAATATTATTAACTAATATAAATATTAATTTTATCAAAAATATAAAGATATTAAAAAATATAAATAATAAAAAAATTAAAACAGTTGGAGGAAAAACAATTAACAATCCCATGAACGAAATTGTCTAAAATAATGTTTAATTTTCCCTTTGAAAGTGATCCAGCTGTCACAAACAAAAGAATCTTTAATATCAATAGGTAAATTATTCCAAATTCTCATGAAACGGCCAGGAATGCTGTACTTAGCAGAATCTGTATTAGCCCGCAAATGGATAAAAAAGAGTTGACACAGTAACTACTGATTTCGAGGTTATCGAGAACAATAGAATCATGTACACAGTTATAAAGAAGTCTACAAACAAACAGTACGGTAAAATATTTCCTATTAGCTTCGGCTGTACAGAGTTCAAGAGCCTCAAGGCGGTTACTATATGTATCCTCCTGTCTTTTTTGATGCAAGATGAATCTGGTAGCACGACGCTGAATCAATTCAATTTTGTTTATGTTCTCCTTCCTATAGGGATGCCATACATTACAACAATATTGAATGTGAGGCAATACTAGTGATGAATAAAGTTTAAGAAGTACAGGTGTAGCACAGTTCGTAGCAACAGAACGCATGAATCCAAGCATTTTATAGCATTTAGAATGACACTTTTTCAACTTGCTTAGACCAAGATAGATTGTGTGAAATTATGACACCAAGCAAATTAAGATGTTTGACATTGTTAGAATCTGTCCATTCATTGTATATATACTGGAACTGCAGGTGAGCGCTGACGAGATATTGACATTACACAACACTTAGCAGAATTCAATGACAACAAATTTGATGATGACCAACATTCAAGACTATCAATGTCCTGTTGTAGGGTTACAATGTCGAAGGGTGATCGAATGGTCATTGAAAGGAATGTGTCATCTGCGTATTGGTAAGGTTTATTAGTTACATGCAATTGAAGGTCGTTTACATAGACAGTAAACAACAACGGTCCAAGACATGATCCTTGTGGTATACCAGATAGTACAGTTGTCCAAGGCGAACATTTACCCTGGAATACCACTCGCTGCTTCCTGCCGCTAACAAAAGATTTCAACCATTTTAGCACATTGCCACTGATTCCATATGTATGCTCCAGTTTAGCGCACAGGATTCTGTGCGAAATCGA